TTCAGCCCCCACTGGTTCCAGATAAGTCCCAGAATGTCCTGGTGGACAAGGTAGAAGCTGGGGTTGATTGGCTCCACACTAATAACTACAAAAATCGACGAACCTGCGATTGTTTAGAAAAAGAAAATTAGATAGTGGACCACAGCCATATACGCCCACCACGGCATGCGGGTGGTAAATATTCAAGATTTTTGGGCAAGGCAATAACTCTGCTTCTAACGGTCGAAAATAGCTCAAATTCGAACTTAATCTTCGTTTTATGAATATGTATACACATACCGAATTTTATTTGATTCCATCAAAAAATCGAGTTTTTAGTTCGTTTACAAGGAAATGTTGACGGACGGACGGGGTTGCCGACAATATACGTCCACTTACAGAGATGTGTGCGTATAAAAATCGAGGCGGGACATCATATTAAAATATTTCGTTTCATATGAAACAAATGGCCATTCCGGATTTTATTAGAAACCTTTAGTTTCGTTTTACAAGTCGTTTTTGTGCAGTTGGGCACGATGCGGCAAGTTGGGCAATGCGGCATAACGACCCCATTGCTGCGGCTCCTGAGGTATATTTGAACGGATTGTGCGAATTTCGTTCAGTTCTAGTTCTTCTGCAGACTTTTTACATAATCCAGACCCAAATCGAACCCGGAAAATGTCGACTGTTCTCCGTTAATTATAATATTCTCAAAATAACGCATATCCTCAAAACGGCAATGGTTATAGCGCAACGCAAAAATATTTTCAGGTTATAATTTTGGATATAACATTAGTTATACATGTCATTGTTTATATACCGAAAGATGTGATACTGTAACTAGTGTTTGTTGTAACGAATATTATAATGTTATATTTTCAGGTTATAATTTTGGATATAACAATAGTTATACCTGTCATTGTTTATATAACGAAAGATGTGATACTGTAACTAGTGTTTGTTGTAACGAATATTATAATATTATATTTTCAGGTTGTAATTTTGGATATAGCAATAGTTATACCTGTCATTGTTTATATAATGAAAGATGTGGTACTGTAACTAGTGTTTGTTGTAACGAATATTATAATATTATATTTTCAGGTTGTAATTTTGGATATAGCAATAGTTATACCTGTCATTGTTTATATAATAAAAGATGTGATACTGTAACTAGTGTTTGTTGTAACGAATATTATAATGTTATATTTTCAGGTTGTAATTTTGGATATAGAAATAGTTATACTTGTCATTGTTTATATACCGAAAGATGTGATGATGTAACTAGTGTTTGTTGTAACGAATGTTATAATGTTATATTTACAGGTTATAATTTTGGATATAGAAATAGTTATACCTGTCATTGTTTATATAATGAAAGATGTGATGCTGTAACTAGTGTTTGTTGTAACGAATGTTATAATGTTATATTTTCAGGTTATAATTTTGGATATAGAAATAGTTATACTTGTCATTGTTTATATAATAAAAGATGTGATGCTGTAACTAGTGTTTGTTGTAACGAATGTTATAATGTTATATTTACAGGTTATAATTTTGGATTTAACAATAGTTATACCTGTCATTGTTTATATAATGAAAGATGTGATACTGTAACTAGTGTTTGTTGTAACGAATGTTATAATGTTATATTTACAGGTTATAATTTTGGATATAGAAATAGTTATACCTGTCATTGTTTATATAATGAAAGATGTGATGCTGTAACTAGTGTTTGTTGTAACGAATGTTATAATGTTATATTTACAGGTTATA